CAGGACAGAATAACTAACTCATCTTGGAAGGAAGCAGATAAAGAATTTAAACCTAGATTTTCTACAGGTTTTAAAACTCTGGGGCAGTTTCTCTCTTGCATTTTGCCTTTTTATGAACTGTTCATGTTTCCTAACTGTGAAATCCTGACTACTTCTATACAAGTTCTCAACAGTGAATCTATAATGATGACTGTCCAATTAAAGTTTATTTAATTATGTGTTACCAGAGGCAATTTGTAGCATGCTCTGAAACTCTGTCTTGTAGAAGGATCTGTTGCCCATTTGTTACCTGTCTGAGGAATAAGGAGTGGCACCCAATATAAAGTTAGTCATGAATCTGTACAGACCCCCAGGTCTACCCTGTCTTGTCTCAGCTCCAAACCACATGTCTACCCAGTTGCATACCCACAACATGGAACTAACTACCTGAAGTGAACCATGCAATTCTCCTTGCCCTTCTCCTGCAAAGCTGCTCCAAACCAGAAGTCAGAACAATGGTGAAGTCAGTCTTTACCAAGGCAAAGGAGAATCTGGCATTTTTTTATGACTCACGTGATTAGTTCCTTTTTGAGATCTCTTGAGTGGAGCTTGGGTTTAGGACTTGGTATGGAGACATCTCCTGGATACTTCTTTTCCTCCATGTTTTCTGGAGAGCTCACTGGATCTTTCTGAAACATTAGTTAAGAGTGTGACAAAAGGTTTCTCTCTTCAAGTCCTCCCATAAGTTTAAGAAATAATTTGCCATGGCAAGAAAAGAACCTCTTGGAAAACTTTAAAAAAAAAGAAAAGGAATGATGGAGAGAAATGAAGAAAGTTAAGGTTCTCCAAGGTAGACTTTTAAAAATGCTGTGAAAGTATTTCTAGATGCTGGTTTTAGCTGTACATACAGAAAATTTGGTTCAGATTTTTTAAATGGTGATAAAACCCAAAGAAATGTACACAGAGAAAATAAGAGTGATCTTTGAATATACAGAGCAAACCAAGATTTTGGCAAGTATGTTCTTGGGTTTTTTCTGTGTAAGTACATGACTGAGTTTTGTATACAGTTGAAGTGAGGATCATTGAACTGTGAATTATAAAATTGCAATAATTAATTTTAAAAAACCCTCTTTTACATAAGCATATGTAAATGCAAAGCTTTTTAGGTCTGTAGACTGGAACTATATCTTATTCAAAGAGCAGATTCTTGTTAAAATAAAATTCAGAAGAACAAACCCCCTTTGAATTTTTATAGTAGCAGGCTGCTAAGGGTAGTTCTTAATTTTTATTATTTGTAGATCACAATCATGACTGCTACAGTGCTGTTTGGTTGATAGTACAAACCGTGAGTATTCACTCCCTTGGGAAAGCATTTTAGATATTTGGAGTCCTGAAAGGAAATTACATTCTTGTTTTCTGAAAATCTTCTTTGATCACTTCACAATAGCTTGGTTTATACTGTTTTGAGACTTAATTCAATTATTCAGTTATTATTACTTTTATGAAAGATAAGTGGTTGCTTTCTGGAGGGATGCTCTGTGGCTATTTTATCATTCAAGAAATCTCCAAAGCCTATAGCATCAATTATTGAACAACTATTAATCCCTTCTGGGACTTCATGTTGGTTTTGAGATTCCATTCCAATACTCAGGTAGGTATTGCCCAGAGATTACCATCTGTGGGAACAGAAACTGCTGCCTGTGGTTGAAAGCAGGTCCCAGCTCCTGCTAAACTCATGGGGCTGGTGCCATAGATGCTCTGGGCTTGTGCAGCTGACAAACATGCCAGGACAGAGAGGCAGGGATGTCTGCAGAGCTGTTAACACAGAATGGAGGGCTGAGTAGAATCTGGACTGAAAATGGAGATTCTGCCTAATGGGACTTGTAAGCTCTGCAGGGGTGTTTCTTCTGATAAAGCTTCCATATGGTCCTCAATTCTGGCAGCTCATCTTTGCCTGTTTGGAGGCTGGATCCTCAATATGACTTCCTTCTGCTTTCTGGTACTGGCTACCTACTGCCTACGGAAACTCACACTACACATACATATAGAAATGATGCCATATTATTGCTATATCAATTACTACTGATTTTTGCAACCACATTTGTGGGGTTAGTTTGTTTGGGAATAATATAATCTGCTACAAATATAGGAAGCAGAAATACATATAGTCAGCTTTTCTAAACGCTCTTTCACAGTAATTATTGAGTATTTTCAATAAATAGAAAAAACCTCATATATTCAGGCTTCTAGAGTTTTATTTCTAAAGGAAAACTTCAGATAAGGAGCAATAGAGAAAATTAAAAACAATGAAAGACCTTGATAACATGTTAGTACAGAAATAATAAATGGTTGAAAGTCTCCAAACATGGAAACTAAAATGCTAAAATACTGAAGTGGAAAAATGGATGTCAGCTTTGTTCAAGAGTCAAGAAACATCAAAGACTCTTTTCCAATATTGAGTTAAAGCTTGATTCCAGTGCCACCACCAGCTGTGCAATGGGGAATTAAATTCCTGACTACTTCTGTCCTCAAGTTCTGATCTACTTTTCTTACACATAAGCGTAAGCAGGGATCATCACCAGTATAAGTTACAGTGAAATTGAAACCTTCCCAAAGAAACAACAAAATGGTAACCCCCTGTTGCCAGCTGGAAGAGATCAGATGTAAAAATAACTTAAAAAACCCGGTTAAAATGGTTCTCATTTAATGTAATGCAATGTAATGTAATGTAATGTAATGTAATGTAAGGCTGGCTTATCCGTTTCCTTTCTAACATCGAACTCTGACAGGCTACATCTGTATCACTCAACTGAGGACCAGAGCTATGTTTCTAAAGATTTAGTGTGTTCCTTGGCTGGATCCTATCTATGTATCAAAACCAGGCCCAAATCAACCTCTTCCACTTCTCAAAGGTATAACTGAGAGAAGCCTGGGGTAGAGAATGGTGGAAAGACATCTGGCACTCTGCTGTGATCCTGAGCTGTGTGATGTACCTCAGGATGCACTTGCAGCAAGCCAGAGTAGCCATAACTGTGCTGCAGAATATATGAATATTTTCATATATGTCACTTCAGTTCCAAACAAAAGATATCTCTTGATTTTTTGCTGAAGATGGACCAGAAACTTGTGTGTGAGTTATTCATCATGTCCCTGTCTGATAACTGCTACACAGAGTAGACTTGAAAAAGAAAAACATCTAGTAAGGACAAAAGTGGGTATACAGTTTGTGTCCTAGTTAACAACTCACAGGAATGAGGGAGGGATATAAACAGGTGACTTCTGCATTGTCTTAGCACCTTGAGGAACACTTGGTATTACTCAAGCAGCATGAAATCTTCAGATGTTTAGAAGATGCAAAAAGAAGACAGTGCAAAGCAAGTGTAGGCAAATGAATACTGAAACTCTGCCTTCTAGGACCTTGCATCACTACACATGGCTCAAAAGTGGTTGCATCTGTATGAAACAAGTATGTCAGAAATAAAGACCAAATACTTTTTATTCCTCCGCACTTAAGACTGAGAGTCGACCATCATGTCTTGGTTTGTGTGCTTCTCCAGATATTTAGCTTTAGACAGAGAGACAATCCTCTGAAAGGCCACACCTTGAATACTGTGTACAGTTCTGGGCCCCTCAGTTCAGGAAGGATATTGAAGTGCTGGAGTGGATCCAGAGAAGGGCAACGAGGCTGGTGAAGGGACTCGAGCACAAGTGCTATGAGGAGAGGCTGAGGGAGCTGGGGGTGTTTAGCCTGGAGAAGAGGAGGCTCAGAAAGACCTTATTACCCTCTACAACTACCTGAAAGGAGGTTGTAGTCAGGTGGGGGTTGGTCTCTTTTCCCAGGCAACCAGCAGTAGGACAAGAGGGCACAGACTCAAACTCAGCCAGGGGAGGTTTAGGTTGGATATTAGGAAGAGATTTTTTATGGAGAGAGTAATCAGGCATTGGAATGGGCTGCCCAGGGAGGTGGTGGATTCACCATCCCTGGAGGTTTTCAAGATGAGACTGGATGTGGCACTTAGTGCCATGGTCTAGTAATCACTGTAGGGTTGGACTCGGTGATCTTTGAGGTCTCTTCCAACCTGATTGATTCTATGATACTATGAAAACACCTTTAGCACTTCCCAATTTTTGGTGTCTTAGGTGATGGCTGTCACAGCTAGTCAAGTCCAACTGTATGTATAATTTTTCTTTTCCCATTTGAATGGATCTATAATTAAAGGCTATTAAAAATCTGAAGAACTCCTGACTAAAGAAAAATAAGGACTAGACCAATTGGTCCAAACACTACTATTTCCTACAAAGAGCATGTGTGTATTCATGCATGCACACTACAGAAAGAAAGCAAGCAATGATACTCCATTAATGTACAGATGGAAGTTTATATTGATTTCTGCAAAGACCAGAACATAATGGTAACATGAATAACAGATAATAGCATCTGGCACTTTTAACATTTTTAAGCCCTGAAATCTTTGGAGAACTGACAATTGAACTAACTGACAGCTCCAGTTATTTCTCGGTGCTTTCCTTTTGGAGAGATTTTGAGCTTTTTCCAAATTCAGAATTTTTTATTTTTTTTTGAGGGGGCATCTGGACAGGCTATTTTGCTGAGAGAAAGAGAGACAATATTTTCTGGAAATTACCACCAAAATTAAGCAACTGTTGTGCATATGAACCAGATAACAATGAATTAGAAATACATATAATCAGTCATTTTCCTTGCATGAGGATAACTGCCAGTCTTTGATTTTGAAAATAGAGTCTCTGGCCCTGACATCACTGGATATATCAAGGCTCCCTGGGAGGGCAAAAGCTCACAGCAGAGGTCTGGGGCCAGATCCTCAATTGGGGACAAACAGCATAGTGTCAAAACAACAAGTGCAAGGGGTACCAGTACCTGAAAGCATCGGACCTTTTTGTCTCATTGGGTATTTTAGCTGCCTCCAGTTCCCTGTGCCCGTAAGGGACAGGAAAACAGCCAGCCACCCATCACAGCCTTTCAAAGATCAAGTATGGATGGGGGAATGTGGAGGTGCTCCTACTTTCATGAGAAGGAGTGGCAGGACAGGCCCCCTGCCAAGTCTGTGACACTGATTGATCCCCTGCAGAAAAGCAGTCCTCTCAAAGCTGAATGTGCTTGCTCATTGTGCATCAAGAGTGGGGAAGAGCCTGAGCCCTAAGCCTCCTGCCTCATGTCAAACCCACTCCAAAACCTTGATACAGAGATTGTGCTCTCATTGTTGAAGTAAAGACCATCATCAGCCCCAAAGAGGTGACTGCAAAGGCTCTTCAAGACAACCCAGCCCCCAAGAAATGCAAGCTGTTTCAGCAGTCACATTGCAACAGCCTACCCAGTGTCAACATTTCTTCACATAACTGAATTATCTCTTAATTCTAGGTGGTTTTGGAATTGGATGCCAGGATTGTCTAACCTCAGCCCTAAATAGATTTACCCCACCTATGTCTTCTGGAAGCATCAGTTTTGATACTTGAACAAAAGGTAATTTCATAATAAATATAATGTTCAAATGCTATTATTTGATATATAAAGCCAAATAGGGAGTGAAGTATTTGAAGTGTCCTAATTGGGACATCTTTTAGTCTGTTTCAGAAAGCTATCACTTAGGCTTGTCTATGTGAATTACCAGGATTTTATCTAATTAGTCTTTTAAAGAAGTGGTGGTTTAAGAGGAATGCAAGCAGTCCATATTCTGACAGTCAAGCTTAAGAGAAAAAAATAAAACCAAACTCTCAAGCAAATATAAGAATAAGAAAGAAAGGCCATAGGAAACTCTGCTGCCTTGTTACCAAGATAGGATAAACAGACATGAAAGAGCAAGAAGCCAAACCGAATCAAGACAATTACTGAGTTGGAAGTGGCACTATAGAAGGCTAGCTGTAGAGGTTGCAAACTGGAGATCTAAGACTCATTAGCAGAGATTTTTTGAAGTATGTAAAATACAAAACAAAAAGTTTTCCATCAAAAGAATATTGCAGGCAAGATTTTAAGCCCATGCTTAAATGCACAGATAATGAGGTATCTAGAATTATGAAGAATTGGTGTGGAAAATTACTTTTTGTTTCAGCATGAAAGAACTGCCTTGGTTTGGTTTTGTCTGTTGGGGTTTGGGTTGGTTTTGTTTGTTTGGGTTTTTTTCCTAAGCGATCCCTAGTCTATTTGAGTGTTTGTGCTACAGGTCTGAGTCATTAGGAACAAAATTTAAAAAGGAGTCTCTAATGATGGATACCTTTGACTCCTTATCTTAGAGACTTCTAGACATTAGCAAATAGGCTTAGAGAGCAAGATTTTTCAAAGTGAGTAATGAATTTTTATGCAATGACCAAGAGACCATTAAAGACAAGTCAATATTCACAAGCCTCTACCTGTGGAAACTGATTCCTTTTAAACTGCACTAGATTTGTCATCCCAAAGGCCGTCATGTAGTCCCTCATCCAAGGGAAAGTGTTGCTCACAAACTGAAAAAAATACCTCTTTTTCTTCTTCTTTTCTGCCATGGGTCTTGCTGTAGTTGATTGGTGCATCCCAGCCTTCCTGTTCACAAAGAGCCTGGTAGAAGGCTGCATTTACCAGGACGCTGCTTGTTTTGAAAGGAGAAGAGGAAGGAGTGGGAAGTGCTGTGCTGGAAGAAGTGAGAGGCTTAACTTTGTCTTGGCTTCGATTCTTTTTCATGCTCAAATCCAAAGTGCCATTTTCATCCACTTCTATCTCAGCTCCCTGACATGCAACAGGAAATAGAGACATGTTTAGATGTGGACATGGTGAGTCTGTAAAATAACCATGTGGTGCTTTTAAAGGATAAATATAAATGCACGCTTTTATTTAAATTTATCTGAATCTAAACCCAGCTTTTCGATTTATAGCAGTTAATGTCCAACTCTTAGGCAGACTTAAGAGTAGCTTCAGTAATGGTATCCCTGCATCTCAGCTTAAACATAGTAAGTAGAATTTAAATAAGATGCATCTAAACCATAACCTATACACCCTAAATCTAGTTTTATTTAAAAAAAGTTTAGCTTTAAATCTTCTTGATCTTTTCACTCTTACAGAGAACTATGACCCCAATTCACAGTTAAAAGCATTAATGCATTGTTTAGGTCATCAACAGCATTACTATTACATATCCTCCCTTCCCCCCACACCCTGCAAACATTACAACATCTGCATCATGGGGGGGAAAAGGAGGGGGAAGAAATATGTCTAAAAGTAATACAATATGAGAAATTCTCACTAGGGTTTTCTGCCCCACTCAAAATAACATATTGCCTTAATCTTAATTTGACTAGGCTGCTAAGGCATGGGTCTGCACTGAGACCACTAGACTGGGAGACACAGGAGGATCTTGAGGAGGTTCATCTGATGGAAACCTTCTGCATGAGTTAACAAAGCCTTTACTACATGGGAAGTACACAAAGAGCAGCCTCTAATTGTAGAGGTGTGTGACTTAGGGAGAGAACCAGCTTCTCTGTCCAGAGCAGCTCACAACAAGGGGTGAGTGCTACTCAGCTGCACAAGAAGTACAAGGGAAGGAAACCTCAGTGTTCTGCCTTACCCTGTATGACCACAGAAAAAGGGAGCAAACTCCTCTTCTTGGAATGACAAAAAGCTGCTGAAAGTGCAACTTACTAATGGAAGCTACAAAAAATTTCCCCTCATACTCAATATGCTACATTGCATATTGACATATTTTGTACATAGAGATGAATAAAAGACTAGCTATTGCCAACAATTACTGAAGTCAAGTAGGGGAAGAGATGAAAGGTGGCTTCTGGAGGGGCAGTTGATAACAGTGTATTGCCCTGAATAAGATGGAAAACATTCGAAGACTACAGAGATAAATAGCAATGCCATAGATCTACACATATAGAATGCTGTAATTAACAATGCTCTGTGTCTTCCTGCCATTGTCATCTCTACTACTTTTTATTTGTGTTCCCACAAAGCTTGGATAACACTTGGGAATTTGGAGCTAATTTTGTTAGCTGCTGCATAACTGTAGGAAACAATGATATAAAACAAGATTGAGACTTCCTACCTTGAGCAATATAAAATTAAACCTATAGTGTAATCACCTAGATGTTCTGTTGTAAATGGAGAAGAGATAGGCATGTCCAGGGGGCAAGTGTTTTCATCTTTCTTAGATCTCTTCCTCAGGAAAACACTGGCAGAACAATTTCCTTTCTCTTTCTTCCCATTAAATATTGCTTGGGCTTAATGATTAAGTCAGCTATTTAATGGTTAAAGATAGGACAGTAAAACTTATTCTTGCTTGAGGATCTTAAACATAGTTGTGGGGAAACAGGGAGTTGTCCCACTGTGCTGAAAGTGTGACATGACCACCCTGGTTGGACTGAGGGTGCAAGCTTCCTTCATGCAGTCTTGCCTTCTACCACTGCCAGTGATGACTCATTTAAAGGTAAAATGTGACAGATTAAATATTTTCAATCAGAAGGGAAATGTTGGTAGAAGATGTCGATTTAAGGCCCAATGACCTCTCCTCACTCAGGCAGCCTGACACCATTTTGTATCCATGAGCCTAACACAGACGCCCACCTAGACCGAAGCACTACCAAGCCATCTGCTTACCCCTGGTTCAGAAACTCAGGCATCTCTTATATTTGTTTCTCTTGCATAGTAAAGTTCAGATTTTCAATCATACAGCTTAAAGAGAGAGATGTTTTATTATATTTATGGGAAGTAAATACACTTCTAATATGTTCATACTAAGACGCTTTGGTTATATCTTTCTGCCCCTTTTTAGTAAATAGTTTAATCTCCTGTGATAGTTTTAAGCCCTGAATTTGACAGTGCAGCTTATCCTGGATAATAACTTAGTAACCACAACATCTTATGCCATCTGTATAATATCAAATACATTTTTATACCAGCATTAATAAACCTTAGTTACAAAAATCCAAGATATTAACTATATCAGTGCCAAGCACACACTCCAGGATCTGACAATATAGTTCTGCCATGATCGCCCCAGTGTTTTTTGGCTTCATAGTTGATATGTAACTATAGCAATGAAACAGAGCTACAGTAATCAAGTTTAATGACCAATGTAAAGTAAAATGCTAAATATTGTAGTTGATGACATTTTTCATAATAAAAAAACTTGGGTTAAGTCTGCACAACCAACATTCACATAAAATTCCAGACCTCTGTGACAGATGGCTTAGGAAAGGAAGCCGTGTGACTGGGCTGCAGTAGTTTTATAGTGCAAAACCCATAAATAGTGCAGATTCTCTGTCACTGACAAAATATCAACTACTCAGAAGGCAACAGCGAGAACAAAAAGGACCAAACCCAATCAAGGTCCCCTCCTCAATGCAACCTGATATAGAATATTATCAGGAAATCATTCTCTTTGAGAAACAGATACCATTAGTCTTCTAAGGAGCTCTGGCTGATAAGCAGAACATTTACTGACATGGTTATTTAAAGCTTCCTCAGCACTTCCCTGAAATTCATGTAGAAGTTGGGTTGTCCAACACATACCTAATTCTGATCAGGGAAGGCTGGGTTGTGTGTTTGTGAAGTAGAGTACAGATGGGGTTTAAGTGAGCTCACAGATGCACACCACAATTAAATAAAGTCATGGGAAAAATATCCCCCTTTGCCCATTGCAGGATGGATCACACGTTTACAGCATGGCTTTTTATTCAGAATGGTATAAAAGAGTGATTGCTTTGCTGCCTTCATAGCAAACTCCAAATGGCAGAGCAAAAAGAGAGGGTAGTCAGAGTTACTGCTCCACTTTGCATTCCTACTCTCATCCCACCCTCCTCTCAATATGTCTCCTTTGCTTGTTTTACCACATTTATTTTTACATTAATTTTAAAATGGGACTAAAAAGACAAAAATGGCAAATGGCAAAAAATTCTAGAGCAGTGCTATGACATGCTGACAGAAAACGGCACTTACTATGCTTAGCTCAGGCTTGTAAAGGCTGTGTTCCCCTCAGTGAAGGCAAGATCTTATTACTGTCGCCTCTAGTGCATGTGTGAACAGGCCTATATTTATCCATTTATCATGACATATTTAAAATATAGCTACCAAAGCAACGTAAACTCTTCTGATTCTTTCTTAAGCAAATGTAAGCAAAACAAAGATGCAAATGTCTCTTACTATGTCCTAACTTTTATTAGTTTGCGGCTGTGCAATTCTTTGGAGCCTGATTTTGGTCTTATTTACATTTACACTGGTGTAAACCAGGAAAATATCCACTGAAGCAATGAAGAAAAATCCATGAGGGTGAGAGGATACACATGGTAATTAAATTCAGGTTACTTCTTATCTACTACCGTATCAGTGACTGTGTAATCACCCCCACAAGTTTAACAAGCACTTGGAAAAGGGATTCCAGAATAAAAAAAAACATACAAAAGAAAATTTATTTTCTTTATTCCAGTACCTATTCAGTAAAAAGATAAGGCACAAATAGTACTTTACTATCAAGATGAAGACTAATATAAATATGTAAAGAAGAAATGATCTCTATTTTATCTCTTCAAGTGCTTTGTACTTTAAAGTCAAGTTTTTTCACCCTCCTTTACCTTATAATGTAAATATTGCAGACTATTTTCTAAGTACTTTATTACGTCTTGTCCTTAAAACTGTACTACAACAGCTAGGACAATAAGGGATGTTAGTTTTTTGTGGCAAATTACTCCTGTATTTTTTCATAGGCTTTTGGTTCATCTGATCACTCAGAACATTTAATATTCTCCACTGTGTCTCTAGTAATGATTACAACTTAAGCTTTATCTCATAGCTGGATCAGAAAGAGCAAATTGTGTTGGCATGGATCTCATTTCAAACCTGTGACATTATGGAGATTGTGTCATGACATAGAAGGGGTTTTATATATTCTTTGGTTGGCATCAGTCATACAACTTAATACTAAGTAAGTCCAGAGAAACAACATTATCAATGATTTGGCATTCCCACTAGCAGTTCAGTCTGGTTTGGAAAGCTCAGAAGAGCTCTTCAGTTCTGGTACTGGGAGCAACTCTGAGACTAGTATCTTGCCTTGTGTATGAATGCTATTCTTCATGCAAGTCCATCCAAAAGAGTACAATCTTTTCTATTCGCAGCCAATAAAAACACATGCACGTGGTCCTCAATTCTTCACACTCAAATTTAAGTAACTGAGTCTTTCTGATGCAAAATTTAAATACTAATTTGGGTCAAAATGGGAGAACTTGTAACAGCCCAGAAACATCTGAGACAAAACTGGAGTCACAATTTCAGCCTGGAGCAATTCACAAATTAAAAAAACCTAGCCAAGAATGTACTCTGAGAGCACTCTGCACAGCAGTATTATAGGATAGTACCTAGTGATAATCTTGGATGATTTTTCATCCTGTATTTAGGCTTTAAGGTATTTGGAGTAAAGGACTGCCTGACAAACGTGCTGAGTACTAACTACATTTTTTAAACAATTTGGGTAAATATCAGCGTAATTATCAGCATCATATCCAAGAATGGAGAGACGACATAATTTTGTTCAAGACCAGAATTTGAACTTTAAACATTTTTAGCAAGTATAATTTTTTTTTTGTTTTCTTTCAAGGCAGTGTGCATATGCCATTTTGTCTAAACAGGTGGGAAAACCATCAAAACAGTCAGCAAAGTGTTTGGCATTCAGTAGTGATGAGGATACAGATAAACTGTCTTGCTTGCTGCTACCTCTGTGAGATAAGTGGTGAGGGCTGTAAACAGGGAATATCCCTGGATGTTATGATGATGTAGAGTTTTGTGCAGTGCTAGAAACTACAGGCTAAGCCTTCTACAGGAGCCCTTCTGTTGACTTCAATGGGAGCTGAATGAAGCTACATAAACTGCAAATCAAATGCAACCAGGAGACTGGTTTGGGAAACACATGAGAATTGGCCGAGCAGGGGAACAGTTTGCTGCAGCCCTAGGAAGCTGTTGAATGGCTCAGAGAGTGTAACATTAATGTGGTATTAATTATTTTTGAAAACAATATTCTCAAGATGTCTGATGATCTTAGTATTTTGTATGCAACTGATAGATAATTCATAGAGAAAGTCTAGGATACATTTTACTGCTCATTTCAGAATAAATTTATTCTTTACATTGCTTAACTTTTAAATTCATGATTTTAAACTTGGAATATTTGGCAGATCAGCCTTTGTACATTAGGTCTCTTTGGTAGTTTTCCTTACCAATGGTACTGCTAATGTGTAATCTCACTTCTCTATCCTTGTTACCCTTCTCTTTCACTTTCGTTGTCTTAGACTTACCCTTTTGAAATGATATGTAGAAAATATGAGATATATATTTGAATATTGCTTAAATTATTGAAATTTGGATTTGTATTGTGAAAAGAACATTTTCTTTTCATTTAAGTGTTATCTGTATATATGGGAATGTGGTGAACGTTCAGGGTAAACCATACAACTCTTACTAAAAGGACAACACTCTGGAGGTCAAGAAATAAAATGTAAGAAAGACAAAAAAAAAATACTTGAGGAACACACTTGTGCTAAAAAGTGTTTTGAATGTTTGCCCCACCTGTGTAAACAAGGTGACATATGCATGCCTTGAGCAAATACAAAAAAATGCCACTTGCTTGAAATGTTAAAAGTTAAAAGTCTGCTTTTAAAACTTAGAAACACAATACTTTTATATCTCTGACAATTGTGCTACTTTCAAAGGACTTCCAGCAAGCCTAGGAAGTGCCTTGCAATCCCACATGTCCTTGCTCTGCCACCACACAGCCTCCAGTCTGCAGTGTCATGGCTTGGATTGCTTCCAGGCTGATCAAATAATAGCAAACACCTTTACAAGTCAGGAGCTTTGGACTGCTAAAGTATGGACGATGCTAATCAGGTTTTCTTAGAAAAAGGAGCAAAGGAATGTGACAAGGGGCAAGGCTGAGAGGTCTGATACTGTGGGGCTCTGAACACAGCCACCCTATAGAGGTGTTTTCTAACCTGATACAAGTGTGTGTGCTGCCAAGTAGAAAAAAAAAGAAATAATTAACTCTGTCATCATCTGTTGCATGATGTGAGTCCAAACACAGATAAAGTCTCAAGAGATGGTTTTTTATTGTCTAAAAATTTGTAAGATATCCTAGAAATTAAATACTTACATTTGTGACCACTACCAGCCACAAAACAGTTCAGAAATATTGATGAATAGTAGTCTCATTAAAAATGCCATTAATTTATAGCTTCATATTTTAAAATAAGAAAACGTCTTTATTGAAGAGAGTCTGGCAACTTAATTCCATATTTTTTGTTTGAATCCTGTATGATCAAAGGAATAAATAACCAAAACCAAATAAAAAATAGGGTTTTTGTGGGTTTGGACACCAAATCTGTTTAGGGCTTACTTGTCTGTGTTCTGGCCAGAAGCTAATTCTGATTCTTCTGTCAGATGTTTTGTAGCAGTATGCCCTCCAGAAAGTCTGGCAAAAGTGGGCACAGGCAGATAGCAAGGTATGCAGGTGATTTTCTTTTAGGGTGGATTTCTGGCTGTGAAAAAAAGAGTAAGCTATGTGCCCCAAGAGTCCCTCCATGTCATTACTATTATGTTTACTTCCATTCAATCCTTCCCCATGATTTGGCAACTGTGAAGCAGGTACATAGGAGAAAATCTTTGGGTTATGCTTGGTCCCTTTACTGCTCTTCTCTGGCAAGAAAGGTCTGTTGCTGAGGTCAGCCAAAGGCTGCTGCAGCAATTTAATCCAACCATTGGCATCAATTTGCATTTCCCTGCTAGAAGAAGTCTCTATTGAAGACTAGTGGAAGGAGTTTTTTGCAGCAAGTATCAGCGATGGATCTATCATTGGGAAAGGTTCTGTGAGCAATCTTTGGGGCAGATGACTTACAGGGAATGCATGTGGGCATACCCTACAACATCTACCCTGTGGCATCTCCCAACATTGATTTCAAGATCTAAAACTTCACAAGGAGAAATCAAAAGCATCAAAATAGGGCAAAGGCACAAAGCTCAGAGTCCTTAACAAGTTGTTCTGCTGGTGGCAAAATTAATGGTTCCACTCAAAAAGTAATAGCTAACTTCTTAGTGATGGTGAATGAACACCCAACCAAATTGTAGACCAACAGCTGTAGAAGCTATCTCTAGCCAGGCTGAGCCTGGTGCTAAAAGAGACAAGGTAGAATGACACTGACTTGCAGAGAAACAGGTCATCTGTCTTTTAGAGCACACATGATGATTCAGAGTCCAACAGCAGAAGCACACCTGCTACTCTGTGTTTTGACAAATGTACCTCTTTTCACTCCCCAATGATTTCTCCTCATGTTCTTGTAATGACACCCTCTCATCTACACAGAGCTTTCTAAAGTTTCATTGCAGAGGAACATGTGTAACTTTAATACAAATAATAAACAACAGTGTTCCCACACCACTGTCATCAGAAGAAAATCTTGTCTATTTTCATCAGCATTATAATACTATGTAATGGCACAGAAAATAAGGCTCACAGTTCACACAGTACCATTTGTAAATCATAAAGATCTGTGAGGAAACGCAGAGCAGAAACCAAAATACAAAAGCCACACAAACATCTACAATATTAGGCAGCTTTCCATTATGACAGACTTGCCCAAATTACCTATCTCCAAACACAGTGGGCCTGATTCTCCTCTCTTGCCAGCAGAGAGGGGAATTTTACCAAAGTCAATTGTTATTCACCCCCTACACCTTGCCAAACTGTTAGGGGCTCCAAACACAACAGACTCCATAGGTGTAGTTCTGTTCCATTGCTAGCAAAATATCACCTTGATTAATCATGTGATTTCAATATTTTTTTTTAAAAAATCAGCCTCCAAAATGATCACTAATGGCAGGTTTCAGAGGGAGAAAAATTCCCTCTTAAAACAGAACTAACAGTATTTGCCACAGATTGTTGCTGGATTTCAAATAACCTTTTTCTTTTTTCCTCCCAGAAAACTCCCCCCTTGTAATTAGTGCTCAATTATGAAAAGAATTAACAACATAATTCCTGCTATTTATTTATTTTTATCAGAACTGGTCACTGCATTACTGATTTTTTTCTCTGTCTCTCTTCAAAAGAGCATGCAAACAGAAGCCTCCTTTTGGGGGATTTAATGCAATCACTAACATGAAAGACAGTTTATTCGCACAGTTCAGTAGCTAGCACACCCTCCAGGTTCTTGGACTACCCTACCTTGGCAGACAGACTCTGTGGTTTGTTGGAGAGGATCTCTGCTGCTTCCCTGCAGCGGGTGGAAAGGTTCAGGATAGCAGCAGCTGCTGCTATGTGGGTGTCTTCACTACATTGACCGTAGCTATAAGAGTTGGCATGGCAAGGGCTCTGTGTGTGGGCGCTACCACTAGGCAGTCGATTAGAAAATTTCACTGGATTTGAAAAATGCTTTGCTGTTGAAGAGAGATTTGATTAGCAATTGCACGTATGAAATTTTTCCCATTAAATAGGTTTTTTCTCAGACTACAATTTCATACAAAAAAATAGTCAAAGAATACATTTAAAACAATCAATTTCCTATCGTCAGTGAGGGTTTGCTGCAAAAATGGCTTCAGAAACATGATAAATTAATTTTTACCTGAGAAATACACATCTTTCAACAAAGCATCTGAGATTTTAACTCATATTTTACTTATACTTTACTCAGACATTAAAAGCAATAATGTCCCAGGAAGGACTGAACAAGTGTTAGTGTGCTAGTCATTGTGACCTGACCACACAGGTGGACAAATTCAGTCACAAAGGTTTTCTTATAAGGGCTTCCTCTTGGAGCTCTGTTGTGTAAAAAAACCCAACAGTGACTTGTCTAGTCTTAGCTAAAAGAACACTGCTTACCCTACTTAGATGAATAAATTTGTTATTTAAAGAGCATTGCTTATGTGAGTAAGGAGAACAAGACCAGGCTCTTGAAAGAATTGGAGCATTACCTGTAAGGAATATTCAGTACTGATTTCCTGGAAATTTTTTGAAATGTAAGTCTACCTTTTAATCAATTTGAAAAATAATGACAATGAGCATTCAAATGATCTGGGTTTACAGTCTTCTGTTGGCCATATTTGGAATAATACACAGATTTATTAGGCACAAAGAGGTCAGTTGAGAACGAAATACAAAGAGGTGAACAGAAAAGCACTTTGACAGATAAAAGTGGTGTGTGTGGTTCTTTGTTTTCTGCTCCATCACCAGCACTTACTCTAAAACAGGTAGAGAAAACTCTCTATTCTGGATTTTGGAGCTTGGAATGTCATAAACTGTTGCAGGGAAAACACAGCACCATGATTTCAGCTCTAAGGAAGCAATAATCACTTCTTTTGTGTATCTCTCACAGTGTCCTACAAAGATAAAATAAGCAAAATCCAATTTCTCAGCCTACACCCAGATACACCAAGAACATTTCTGTGTATGGCCATCTGCTCGCTCCCTAAAGATCTGAGCCCCAAGGCTCTGGATCCCTTTAGATGTAGAGCTTTGGCTGAGTGTGTTTTAATGCTAAGAGAGCTACACGAGGCATTGAAGGACTCATCTTTCCTCAAACTTGGGATGCTCTAAAAGAAATACTTGTTTGTGTGTTGCTGAATGCCATATTCTGTTTTTCTAAGTACTGGAGGCATCTCAGTGGAGCAATACATGAAAGCCTCATGATTCAGTTCTCTTTTTCTCCAGTGCAAATTAGAAAGGATTTATCTACCCTGCTGTAATACTGTAGAACAATCAAGAGAGTCTACATTTTTAGCAGTTGGTACAATGAAATTCAAATTATATTTAAAGAGCAGAAAAGTGCATTTTCCATTATCCACTCTAAAAGATAAAAAAACAACCAAACAAAAACCCCCAGGCTACGAAGGGTGCATGTTTTGTTAACAAAACAAGTTTACAAATGCAAAATCCACAGAGGGCTAATGATGGGCTTTTGGCTGGCTATATATTTACATAGGACTGAACCAAACACTACACCATCAGCTTCTTATAGCCAACTTTTGTATATCTTCATAGTTAAAGCACTCACCAGCTCTTTTACTTTCACCTTTCCATTAAAATAATAGCTGCACACTGCAATCTGTGCAAGAACAACAGGCTGTAAACTTCAGCCCTGATATACATAATACATAAATTGCATATGTGTCTTCGCATTTGTATAAAAACATTTCAATCATTTTTTCCTCGAAATGAACCTGTGAAATAGACATACATCTGTGCAAAGAGACAGCTAATAGGGAATATTCAATTTTACAAACAAAATTGGAAAATCTGCCACCCAAGAAGCTGGCAATGCATGAATTTGCTTTCATTTGAACAAGCCTATTTTCCAGGCCAGATAAATATCTACTTTTCATTTGCAATTTTAAACAGAGTATTTGTATGTATACACAAAACACAGATACCTACAAACATATATATATATATGTTTGTGTGTATTGAGACACATACACAAGTGACTATATGAATATGCAAATTTTATAAATATATAAACCATATTTAATATATTATAGTATTAGGGGTGTATAATTATCCTCTATATGTGTTTATGCATATATAACTTTTTTTTTTTTTTGCTTTTCTGTTCACCTTACTATAAATGTTCTCCTTTGTTGGGATAAGTGGGATGAAATTACTTTTCCTTTTTTGTTATCTTTACTAATTTTTTTTCATTAAGAAAACAAAAGCCAATTAAAGAGTCTTTTGTCACATTGTTCTGGGTCTATTTTCTTCTGAGGCCAATTATGGTGCACTGAAACCTTTTTTTTTCCCATTTCCCTTACGGCAACAGGATTGTTTCTTTGAACTAAAGAATATTTTACAATGGTCAATAAAATTGCAGAATCTTGCTGAAGCTTCCCATGCAGACTGTGAAGAACATCTGCAATAAATGATCAGTGTTCGCACTGTATTATCTCATTTGTACAGAGTAGTACCTCAGCAAATCTTTAAGTGGTGCAAGCAGAAGAATCTTAATAACAATTTGATGCATTGAATATGTCTGCACTACAAATGTGATGTAGTACAGAAATATGAGATATCAAAACAAATTCAATCCAGGCCTGAAATTAATGCAACTGATGCACATGCTCATCTAGGAGGACTAACACTGTTACTAATATCTAAATGATACCTGAAGTACCTGTGAAACCTAACTTCGATTTCTTTGTACTACAATTCATTACATCTTGTGCAGATATATTCCATGTGACTTCTCATGACAACATCCTGTCACATAAAGATATCACGATTTAGTCAAAGAAGAAGGTAATAGATAAGACATAAAGCATTCCTTTTTACTCCTGTCTTCCACTGATAATTGTTTTAAAAATTAGCATCAAAAAAGTAAGTCTTGTAGTGATGATATCTAGCATTCTAGCATTCCATATTTATCAAACTAGTGATTCTATGTAACATTCTGGCCTCAAGTGATTAAAGATGCTTCCTACAGAGCTTTTTCGAATTCCAGAAGTTTGAAAGAAGAACAAGCAAAAAGAAAAAAGTCATTGACATTTTGCCTGTGTTCCAAGAGATAATTGAATTTCAGGCTTACATTCAAGAAACTGAGGTGTTTTTCGTCCTTGTGCCACAGGTGCTGTTGTGCGTTTGCCAAAGACTTGTGCATCAAAACTGGCGTAATCAAATGGTACTTTCCCAAACTTCTCCTGTTCTTTACCGAGGTTGCCTCTGGAGGAGATGACTGGCTGGGAAGTTCTGTAACTATACTGAGATACCTCAGGCTGCTTTGCTAAATTTGTCCTGCGGAGAGGAACAAAAGAATGAAGGAGAATGGCGAGAATATCTTTAAATAACCTTGCATCTCAGTATCGAAAGTGTGCTGTTATCACATGTAAAATACACTGGTAGGCGTACACAAGAGTTAAACAGCATAAATATGGTGGCTGACCTAGTCATCAAAGAGTACTGTGACTTCCTACAAATTCAAAGATGAGAACATAAAAATATGTAGTATTCTTTAGTAAAGGTTGGGGTATTTATGAGAAAGTTACTGATTTACTGTTAGATTCACTTTATTGTGAATGAGCATGGTATAAATTTAATATATGATGATCTGAAATAATTACTTCTGCTATTTGGGAGAAATGAATGATTTATGGTGTGTTATTCCATTTAGTTAATGTTCAGTAACTACTTGTCTTTAGTAATTTCCTAAGGACTTTTCATATGTAGAGTTAAGGCACGTGCAGTTGGCAGACACATGGACATAATATTCTGTAATGGCTCTGAAGGAACCATTAGAGCTGATCATGTCAATAATCCACAAATTAAAGTGTCCCCAAATAGACCTGAATATAATAGGTTGTAATGGTCGCGGTGCCAATGATGTGCAAATTATGCATGTCTGTAGGGTCTATATAACTCAAACAAAATACAATTGCAATAAAAAGTGTTTCTCTTTTTTGATGCTATTGTATAAAAAATGGAATGAATTATACTAATTAAAGCAATAAACTTTAAAAAAACTCTGTGAATTGTTCTGATCAGGTTACTTGTGTAGAAGTAAGATTTGGTAGAATATATTTGATTGCTTGTCAAAAGACATATATGTTGTCTTTAATGTCTGCCACATGCACAAGAATCAGCAGAAACCTGCTTGTAGAGTTTGAGATGCAGTCAAGTTATTTAGCTTTGCAAAGGTTCACCTTGGAAAACTCAGTTTTCTCCTCAGCTGAAATATGAAATGCATGAAAGACCAATCAACAGAGTTTGCACAGAAATACTTTGGAGAGAGTGGTTTATGAGGGCTCCTACCTGTTTGTCTGATCATGGCACTGCCCAGCTTTTGGAGACTCAAGCTGGTTCTTTTCCTGGGACATTGCCAACTTTTCAGCTGCGGCAATTGGACAACCAGAAAGGCTGTTGGAAAGCAAAGATGAAGAAAAGAAACAACAAGAAAAAAAAAACCACAAACCAATGTTAGAATTCTTCAGTAAAGGAAATGTGTGCTGTGGAGCCCAGTGACTTTGAACTTCTCTGATGCTCTGTGCATCTATAGGAACTGCTGCCATTATAGCCCAGATTCATCTTTTTTGCAATCCTTAATGCAGAACTGTGAAATCTGTATATTTTAGGTAATATATCTGGAAGCCGAATCATGTAGGAGTTTTCCACAGTTCAGCTTTGATGTTTTGTGTCTGGCAAGTCACTAGTAAATTTTTTGACAAATGACATTTACTTTATCAGCTAAACCATGCATATAAGCCTCCTGCTGATTAAAAGGAAAGTGAATTTGGGAAAAAACCAGGGATATGTGAGTGACTGTTACCAAAGAACACATTTTGTCATTTCAAGTTGTGCTAGCTTATTTTTTCCTGTTTGCTTTATTAGATTAGAACATATTTTCTTATCCTATTCATGGGCTGCTCATGATATAACTGATGTGCTGCAAAGATGACTGGGGATTTAAAACAGGAAACACAATGAAAAAATATCTGCTGGTTCCTTATATGTTCTTGTAGACAAGCTTGTCATACCTCTAGTAAAGACTGAATCTGTATACTAAAGATAGTAACATAGTATAATAATCCTTGATTTTGAGACACTCATACAATAACCGATCAATCAATCAACAAAAAACCCCAACCAAATCCCACAAAAAGTCAGTAAGATTGACATTATATTTTTCCAGAAGCAGTATAAGGGAATATTTTGGCTTGCTGGCTTCCAGCAGAAAGCAGTACTGACAAGAGCCGTGCCGACAGCAGTGGCTTGCTGGAGACAGAGCGCATTGACTCTCTGCCTCACCTGCTGTCCAGCTGTGATTCCCCAGCTGTCTGTCTGGAAGGCTTTTCTCAATTTTACTTTCTCCCTGCAGGCAGCAAGTTAAACAGACAGGAGTGATCCAAGAGGAAGAGGGTAATAAATGGAGTTAGCTTTTAAACAGATTCTAAAATATTCTGCTTAAAATTTTCTGTTTAGCTAAAAGGGAATGTGCCTTGATTGGAAGTTCCTGCCAAGGACTACCATGTATGTGGTGCAAAACAAATGGGTTTTGGTTTCCACTGGGTTTTCCACTTGTAGCAATAATAATGCATTTGTTCATTCCTACCACTTCTACATACAATCTTTCATTGTCAAGGCTGTGATGAAATTGTAGCTTGAAATCTCATCTATGTAAATTACTAGTGGAATTTACCATCCTCAGTCCTGCAGCCATTTTTTATATAATGGAGTTAAACACAACTATTTGGTTATAAATAATACATGCTACCCCTGCAGTTCATACACAGTCTGCAGTGTAGTACATAACATCTCATTCCAAGCTGTGCCCATCAATTTACTCCCAGGTACAGGTTAGATTTTAAGTGGACAAGAACTTTTCTGATTTACCTTCGGTGTGTGTTGCGATTGCTGTTGACATGTCCTCTTCCAGTGCATCCTGGGGTGGGGCACTTTAAAACATTTTCATGCATGGCAAGAACTAAACAGAAAAGAAAAACAAAAGTAGTTGATATCAACATGCATCAATTAAATATACATATATTAAAAAAAGTATGAACATTTTGTCTTTGGACTCAGATTCTCAATTCTATCACATTTTGACCACAAAAAAAGAGGAGAAACAAAGGACCTACAACACAGTGGGCATGGTGCCTCCAGCATATACCAGTTTATCTCAATATTGCTGTAGTGGGGCTTCCCACATGCACATCATTGTTTCTAGGGCCTTTAGAAGAACATAGATGGAAATTAGCAAAGCTGTTGCATCATGAAGTCCTTTGTCCTCTGATTCATACACCACTAATACAGTTGACTAGAAAAGCCAGGTGATAGAGGAGCCCTGGGTCACACAGTCATGCTAGTTGTAGCTGCAGTCCCTTTCTGTCTCAGGGAGGGCAAGCTCTCAAGTACAGGAAGGCTGTTTATGCATTTTATCAGATGATCTGATCTGAGTATGTCCCTTTTGAACCATTATACCTTCTGATCATCTGAGCTGTGCTGAAATTACTTTGGACCAATCGGTCATGCTTCCAAGCAGCGGCTTACACTCTTAGTAGTGATTACAACCTCTTGCATGTACATTTCTTATGCCTTTTGATGTGGATCATCTTTACTAAGACTGACATATATGTCTGTGTTAAACAATATACATCTTTGAGACACAGTGCTTCACAAAATCTGACTGGTCAGTCAACTGGTTTGTTCTGTCAGGAACCAAATTATAATTCTTTTTTTTTTTTTTGATAGCAGGACAGAACACATCTGATTGAAAGTGTAATAAATAAAAAGGACTTGTTAATTTTTACTCTTTAGAAAGTTAATGTTGCTAAGGCCTTGGAAATGCAGCAGCCTGCTTAACTCAGGAGATGTTTCCATAAATACAATTTACTACAAGATTTTAAAAAAGGGAGAGCTACAGTTAGAGAGAAGATGTAGGTAAAATGCAAATATCCTTTTAATTTGTTGTTAGGCATACTATCACAAAGAACAATCTGACTAACTAAGTTGTTTAAGTGAATAGTTTTACATTAACTTTTGACTTATAATGGAGCATTTCATTGCATCATATTGCAGGATTACACATACACACAAATCGATGTAATCAGATTAGCACAGTTAGAAATAAGCAGGGAAACTCATGCAAGACTGGGCAAAAAAGGGGTTAGTGTGATACTGTCATAAGAGAGGGACCTGCTGTGGACAGCACTGGGATGTACTGATGGAATTAACCTTTTTGAGCTCAGTGGTAAGGGGAACACTGGAAACATCTCTCCATAAGCATGCCCAGGCCTCTCAGCTGTTGGCAATGAAAACCAACAGCCTTGGTGTGTGATTGCAGCAAATGAGGCCACAGCTCTGGAACAAGCAGGTGATGTTTGTTCTGCATGCCTTAGCAGAGGCATGGGCAAGCAAGATCTTGAAGATTCATGAGACCACAGTGGCAGTGTGGAGATAGTTTTAGCTCTGATCTTATCTTTCCAGGCCACCTGAGGAGTCTACTGATGTTTGTAGTGCTACTGCTGAGGAGTACTTGACTGCATAAATGCAGGAGGCAGGACTGCAACTATGAGCTGGAGGGCAAAGAAGATGTGATGGCTTCTTTCTCAGCCTCACTCTGCAATCTCATCCAGAAAAAGGGGTGTTCTTCTCCAGCATAAGCACACACTATCCACAATACTGAGCCAGATCCAGTTGTTATTCTGGACTGCAGGGTAATGATACTCACTTTCTAGTGGCACTCTAACTTTATGTGGACAGCCTGAGAGACTGCGATGGTGAGGGTACAGCCCAGTCACATGCCCTGTGCCATCACATCCTGGGATAGGGCATTTGGTTTCTCTCTTTTCAGGCCTGGGTGAATCTGCAGAGAAATCAGATAAGGGTTTTGTTTAGTTTTAGCCCCTGTCTGCATTCAGCTGAGTGATCCTAGCAGCATGATACTCTCTATTTTGTACTTCAAATTTAATTCCTATGCAAAGTTTTAACAGAGATGTATGTGACTTAAACATCAATTTAGGCTTTCACACTGTGTCCTTTAAACAATTACTCCCCCCTCCCAACATGCCATTTATGTGCTAAGCTATATAGCTTCAGGATTGCAGTGCCATTTATTCCATTCAGAGCCTCAAACAGGACAGAAGCCACAATCCAATAAACCAGAAAACTGGCAGTATCAGCCAGCAACAAGATCTATAAAGGAATAAATAAAAAAGCAAAACCAATATTTTACTCTGTTAATGTCAGACTCCAGGAAGCTGGGACAACCAAATAAAAGCTGAGGTGTGAAACAAACAAACAAACAAACAAAAAGCATTTCAACCAGAAGCCATTCCTTAAATATCACAGATCTCTAGGCTGTAGGTTCTTTGTTAGGAAACTGAATACATGCCACTTTACATTTGAGAGGCAAGGCAAGCAGCTCCCTCTGGTACACATGGCAATGCTGCTTTGTGGAGCAGCCCACAAAGACAGTGAAAACATGGAGCAGCCGATACCCTTTCAAAGGCAAGGTCTCAGCCCAGCCCCACAGCTACCACTCTGTACTGGCCGCAGTGCATTCCCAATTTTTGTTTCAAGCACCTAGAATTGTGCAAGAAGCACTGGTCAGAAAGCTTTTATTTGATTTCCAATGCAGGATCAAAAGTCTGGGCGAGAAAGGAATGATTTCTGGTCCAGAAATTCTCTTGTGAGAAATCTGGAGGAAGTGGCCGCATAAATTGCTGAGGATGGTTTTAGCTCCATCTGTGATTGGCTGCCAACAGCATTTGGTGCTGGGGGAGAAAACAGCTGCAGCCAGCACAGGGAGCAGCCTCCTTCAAGCTAATTTTGTTGGACTGTGAGATAGGATGTGCTTAGGGACAGAATCACCAGAGACAGCTGAGGGTTAAACTTCCTGGCAAGTTTTTTGCTTTAAAAAAAAAATAAATAGAGAGGAAAGAAAATAGGCTGAGCATCGTCAGGAGATCACATGCTTTTTAGAATCACTGGAAACGGAAAGTGCTGCAATAGTGAATAGGAAATAGAGGGACCCTTAAATATGATTTAGTCTTTCCCCAATAATTGAAAAGGTTTATCATTAAATACATGGAAAAATATAAACTTATGCTATGTTTTTCTGATGTAGCATCCAAGAATGAAAATTAAGAGCTGTCAAACTTGATGGTGGATTTTTTAGAAATAAAAAACCCAAACAATTATATAGAGTGAAGAAATTGTGTGCCTGATACAATATTGACTGCAATCATATAGTGTTTATACAACCTGAGCAAAGCCTAGTGTGTTTCTCCATGAGTGTTTCCTCTGAAATCACCTGCAAACTACTGCTAATAATATGAAGGAAATCAGGAAGGGTCATTCTTACACCATTCCTCCTTCCTATGTGTGCTGTGAGAAAGTCACATTGACACCAATGTGAGCCTGGTGAATACAGCTGCTCTCAGAATAAGAAAAGATACCTGTAAAGTTCCTGCGTATGCCATAGCCATCTGAGAAAATAGAGGCTCACATAGTTTAGCAAGAAGATAGACTAATACCATGCATGCACAGCTTAAGACACACTCATAAAAAGACTGCTTAAGGCTCGAAAATTACATGCATGCATTTTCTTCCCAAATACTACAGGAAACATTTTATAGTTGCAACTCCTAAAACACCCTGTCAGTTATCTTTCACACTAAATGCTTTAGATAACTAAATTACTGTAATATTTGCAATGTCCACAGGGACTACTCTAAAATAACATTAGAAATACCAAAGTAAATCATTTATCAAAAGCAGAAATTGCGTCAATGCTGGGGTGACCTCGGTACGTTTGGAAGGCCAAAAGGAAAAGTCAAAGGACAGATGAATGTGTTGTTACTTACTACAGCAGAGAGTGTGTTTCTGAAATGACATCCCTTGATGTTCTGTAATTATCTTCAATTGAGGAGTTTCATACAAGACAACCCAGTTTACAAATCAAACCCAAATTTTTTTAATCTCCACTTCTGGAAGCCTGATTAAGTGCTGAAACTGGAGTGATGTTCTTACAGTTTTGTAGGATGCCACAAACCATCAGAAACAATAAAGATTTTGGAACTTACTGGTATTTCAGCTGATGGCGAATGAGGCAGAAGAGCACGGCTAGTGCTTTCCTGGCTCAGAAGTGCTGGCTGTAGCAAAATAATGCTGATATGTGAAGTAGACTGAACTCAGAAAACACATAGCTTAGGAATTAGGTGGTATCTTTGGAAGAGGCCAATTTTTCACCCTAACCTTGCCCTTGAGCACCATTTTAATGTCTTCTCTTTTGGCTGCTGAAATTTTGGAGGTATGTATTAATGCCCTACAGAGGAGGAAGCATAGGAGGAGGAAAAGGAGGAGGACTGTCAGTGCCAGCTACACAGCCCTTTTAGTACCCATTACTGATCATTTCACATAGCAGTTTGGCAGGAAGCCAAGTACCTAGCGTTTAACCTGGTTAGATGTAAGGCACTAGTGTGAAGGTACATAATTAACAAAATTACCAGCTAAATTCCAGATTCTTTACTGTTGCTATAAAACCCAGCTCAAAATCCTCTATCAGCCACAGGATAAATGCTTAAGCCAGTAAGAACAGCCAAAAATACTTCCTTACGTTTGTTGCTAAATATCTGTTTCCCACCAATGTCAATAACTTTGGTTTGTCTCCTTTCCCCTGCTAGATGCTCCAGAAGAAACCTATCCAGTTCCTTGTAGGTGCTGTGAAACACATGACCTTGCTCTGCCTGCAGAGCGATTGCTTGCTCTAGCAAACTCAAGTTCCCTTTTGTTTTGTCCAGCTCAACTGACACGTCTGTGGTTTCTGACAGGCACTCATTGTCATCTTCTTCACTTTCAGGGAAGGGGTTCTGAATTCTTTTCTCAAAAGGATCTGGGTGAAACGCCTGGGGTGCTCTCAGCTCTGTCTCTGAATCACAAAGTGTTTCACAAGGATCATATTCGACCTCTTCCTTCTTAATTTCTGGGACTTCCAGAATGCTGGGTTGATTACACTCTACAATATACTTCTGAGTTACATGGGGCTTTATACTAGTTTCTTCTGAGAAATTTGAGGAGCTATCCCACTCGTTGTCCATAATTTCAGAGTGGCTTTCATTTTCCTCCGATGAACAGTATTTTGGGTCAGAAATAAGAGTCTTTTCCTTTCCTTCAGCTGAGTTAATCAGGTAACATTCATCAGTGTCATCACTTTCTGTTTTTAAGGATTGAATGCCACTATCATTTAGATTTTCTGCCACTGTTTGACTGGGTGCATCTTTTGCTAATTTTCCCATGTTCATCAAAGATTTGGCCATAGTGTCTTGATAGCTGGAATAGCTGTCTTTTATTTGACTGGAATTTTCTTGCCCACCCAGATGAGGGGTTTCCTCAGATGATTTTGGAGTACTCTCTTCTGCATGACAAAAAAATCAGGAGAAAAATCTGTAAGAATAACTGGGTTTTGTATCTTGTAGAAATGATAGGAAGATACTTACTTACCAATTGTTGTTTCTTTACTCAAAGGTACTGTGAAATGATTGAATTCACACTAAGGCTATGTTTGAAATGGCTACTTCTGGAATGAAGAAAAACTCTTCTGGTATTATATCTACATTATATTATAACACCAACAATATGGCAAATAAATATATTGCCATTTCTCACTGATGGTGAAGACATATGTTGTCTTATAACATACACATGCACGCACTCATATACATTTATGTAGATATAATGTGCCATACATAGATACTACATATATACATATAATCTATGTAATATATGTGTGTATATATATACAAGCACACAAACATATTTTAAAATTCCTCTGATCTATTTTCACTTCTCTTTCATTTATGATTCCCAAATATTTTCTCAAAATTGACCCTAATTACTCTCCCAGTAACCCCATATCCCATGAAAGACCTTGATGGAAAAATCCTCAATACTTCACAAAGGGCAAGCTCCTGGTCACCATTGAAATTGCCACATTAAGTGATAGATCAGGTCATGCACAGGCAAACAGAAATGGTTGTTATGTACAGACTCATAAAGGACTTGTTAAAGACACCACTGAAGTGCATCCTGTCTTTATAAACATCTTTCTTCAGAAGAAAAGAGGCAGCCAGCAGGTAATAAAGGCTGCATGTAGGAGAGGTTGTCGGTGTGGAAGACAATATGCCTTTTGTATCTCATTTAATTTTTTATAAACATTTCCTCTGACAAGGACACTCAAAAATACATCTCCATCATCTTCCTTTCTGGTAATTATCTCTCTAAAATCAACACTGGTTTTGCCAGGATCAAGTAAATATTGCCATAGTAACTAAAAGCATTTTTGGATGAAGGGAAGAATTTAGTCACAACACTAGCCCCTTCAATAATGCTGATTATAGGGTACATTCTTTTGTTGGGATCTATTCAACATAAACTGAAAAATTTAACATTTTACTTCCTAGAAAGGAGGATGAATAAACAAGCACAGACTATTTCATAAGATGTGTCTGTCCTTTCCTGAATCAGAAGAACTCCAGGTTTAAATAATAAATTAAGCATAGTCTAAAATGCAAATGAAGTTTCTCTCAATAACACAGTGAGCTATTAAGAGAAAGTGTAAAGGGTTATGATAATTTTAAAGTATTATGAACTACAGAAAACAAATAAAAAGCATTTTCAGTGAATATGTCCAATTCATTGAACTATTCTCTCAATCCACTTAACTACCCACATGTGTACAATAATGATTTATAGACATTATACCTAATTATGCATATTTGGGCTGTGTTAGAGTGCCTAACAAAAGCTCTAGAAAGCAACAATTACCTCTGTTGCTTAGCTACATAGTTTAAAATATTCCTATTAAGTGCAGATTATTGTGGAGGGGAAAAGGGGGACAAAAATGCACATGTGCACCACAATGCATTTCACTTTACTGCTGCCAAACTGTTAGCATTTTGGGTCATTTCCAGTTTACATAATTGTTTGGTTCAACTGTTTGTTATATGTTAAAAGAAAATATTGATTAATTCTTATTCTTCTTCAGAAAATTGGACTCATGCAGGGAGAGGTGGCCTTGTGCACTGTCTGCATAAAGTTGTATTTAAAAAAATGTCTGTAAACCTTAGTGCAACTTTTTAGCAGCTGGTCTAGTACCACACACATTGCACTATTCTGAATAAAGTCTGCTGTCTTTTCACATCTCAGCAAGTATGGATGATGATTTGGCTCTATAAACAACTTTAGTCAAATGGGGTTTTATTATTTGCTCTTCTGCCATTTGGAAAATACAGAATCCCATCAGTGGATCATTTCAAAAAGTAACAAGTTCTAGTTCTAAAAGAAATCTCTCACCCTTCAAAAGAAAACAAACCAAACAAAACATAATAATGGTAACAGGTCTTTTCAGTTATTTTCCTCTGTGAAAAAGTGAAAAATAAAATAAATTCATAATATCAGAATTTTACTCCTTAAATAATCAGCAATTTTTAAAAGCAACTTTTAAAAAATTGTTGTTGAGTCAGCCTTAATGGTTCACCTGTCCCAGCTTTGCTTTTCACTTCTTCAGGTTGTAAATTTACTTTAAAAATAATCAAAACTCAGCTTAGTTTACAGTCACATCAATCCATGAACTGAAACATTAACCGATCAACAGAAAAGAGTCATGAGATCATAATAAAATAAGCAATATTACTCTAAGAAACTACAAATAAACCTACATAGACCAACTGTATGCTATAGCTAAAATTTGTTTCATAGCTGGCAAAATTGATGCAAAAGGGGTAGGTCATGTTATCACTGACACAACCAGGTTGAGAGATATCATACCGGTATCAAATAAATATTTTTGAAATTAAGTGTTTTTTGTTTTGACTGAAGGGAATGGTGCAAATAGGGTTCCCTTTTGTTTACTTCAATTGATCTGGCCCAACACTTGCCATTTTTTAAAAAGAGAATTGGTTAAATACTTTAGGTTCATCTGTACATGTCACAGATTATACCTTTATGCCAATCTTAGTATTTTCCCTTCATTGAGTTCTTCAGGATGTATAGAGGACAGACACAAGGGAAAGAAAAACATATTACAGAGGGCAGAAACAGGGCTGAATCAATACAATGAAAATTAGCTAAAATCTAAATATCTAAAATAAATTTAAAAAATCCAAATGAATGACAAAAAGCCCCAACAACTATATGGGAACTCTTAATCCAACAGATTCCTCACTGATGCTAAGAGATAGAAATACTCCTTGCAGGCTGAACAGGTGCTGAAATCCATGGAACTTCTTTCTTGATGACTTTAGCTTGGCAATGTCACCCAAAAGACAGAGACATTGGGTATCACCTAGATAATGAATGCTCTGTTAGAAGCTGGAGCAACCTTCTTGACTTTCACAGCAATGGGATACAGACCTTTGGAAGAAACTCCTCCTAGGAGACTTAGAAGTGACAGCTGACAGAAAACTTCGCCATATAGCAGTGACACAAAGACCTCCACTGATTTTGGTAGAATCAAGATTTCACTCTTTAATCTGAAAGACATACTTCATCCTCTTCTATGTGTTTTATAGTATTCATATGTGCAAAATATGGGGGATGTGTGCATGTGTGTGTGTTTTGTTTTAAGGAAATTCAATTTAGAGTAGATAAATACAAAAAGTACTAATCTCAGTTGATCATAGAATCATAGAACAGCTCAGGTTGGAAAGGACCTTGAAAGACCAGCTCGTCCAACCTTTTGTGGAAAAGGGGCCGTAGATGTGGTTATCTACCACCCTGTCCTTCCAAAATATTTGCTAAGAAGAAGCTGAGTGGAAAATAAATTACCTTTAAACTCAACCAGAAACTGAGTGGAATATTAGTTCATGCTATTTATGTATTATCTATGATTACTAATTCCCCAGTGCCAGATGACATTCTTTTTATCTTGACATTTGTTGTTTACTAATGATTCCTAATATCCTCCCAATATCTTCCACTGATACCTTCTCACTTGCCTGATTAACTACTTTGGCAGGACTTTTTAAACAAATATGTGACAATCAATATAGTTTGATATTGTTCGTCCATCTTGAGTATATAAAAATATGTATTACAAAGTAAGAGTAATAATAACATACTGTAGATATATCTTTCTGTCTCCCCATCCTCATCCATATTTTCCATACAGGTTGTAGAAGTTTCTATAAATTGTTGGATGTGTTGGGTTAGCAGAGTTGGAATAACAAGTATAAAAGTGCTGAGTCTAATAATCATGTTAAACAGAACACATACAGCAGTCACACGGATGAAATTGCTTTGCTAAATGTCAAAGTCAACAATGTTTTGCTAAGCATTTTTTTCTTCCTAAGAGGTCTATATATTTCTGTGAAAATCTTCTCTTCATAAATGTATTTTTCTTAGTGGTGGGCTTAAGCTTGTTCTTTGACACAGGTGGTGGAGGAGCAGATGTTGCTCCATATCTGACCTGCTGTAGTAGTTGTCTCTCTGAGTGACCTACAAAGCATTTACTAGACCCCAGGATGAGTTATTGTACAAAGTAAATGGAAATATGATGGTTAAACCTGGACAGAAAGGCACAATCCCAACTCCATTAGAAGGCAAACAAATCCTGCATCCTGTTTGAAACTACTGTTTCTTATCTCCCTTCCTGTGAAATTCAAGTTCAAGCAGAGTTCAAGCAACTACCTGGAGTTGAGCTGCTTTCAAGGACACTGATCTCTTCCTGTAGTTCCATCCTTTCTTCATTTTCTTCTTTGCATTCCAAGCTGGGGCTGTAGTGGCGGGGTTTCATTAACAGGGACTTCCTTTTGTTGACAGGAACACCTGATATCTGGTCTTCAGCTTTTCTCTTCTTAGCCATGGAGCATTTGTAGGCACTGCAATGATCAATTGCCAGTTATAGAGAAAAAAGTGGGAGACGTAAGGGGTAAATTGTTTGAAGAATAGCACCACCCTCTACGTTAATTCTAAATATCAAAGTGAGTATCAAGTTGTGTCGAGTGGATATTTAATTTTTGATCATGTACTCAAAGTTCAAGCAAGTCCCATATTTTTTCACTACTGTCAAAATCTGTTTGGGAGAAAAGGAATGAGAAGACATAAAAAGCCAAAACTATAACCCAGCAGCCTTAAGGAAAGGATGAACAAAATTGTAGCCTGGGTTAATAATACAGAAACACAACTCAGGACAAAATTATACCATCAGTTGTACTGCAAGATTCCGAGCCTTTGGCTCCATTACCTTTACATCAGTATGGATATCCAATCACACACCTTGAGTTCAACAGCATAAAACCTATGTGAAACACACTGTACCTTGATAACATTTTACAATACAGGTCCTCTTTCAATATTAGTCCCAAGTGTTGGTTTAATTTCATTTATCCCAACCATAAATGCCTGGTTTAAGCGCTACGCAGGTCTCTGAATAGACTCTGATAAAAGACCCCTACAAAAGGCTATTCATCTCACTTAAAACTAGTTCTATGTGATAAAGAGGGGAAGTCATACCCTGGGAAAAGTCTTGCCCAGTCCAGGTGCCTAACTTTCAGATGACCGACATGAGAAGAAATATCAGGATTTGAGAGAGCAAGACCTTTAGCAGATTTGATAGACTTCTTTCAGCTCCTAAAAGACTCACATATTGAACTGCATATTAATTTTCTTCTACAGATATTTAGCAGTGTTTGCTAGCATGAAGTCGATCTGTATGACATATAGATGTTACATCATATAACACATCACAAAAGAGGCCTGAACCTTCAACCCTCCTTTTCTAATAATTATTCATGCAAATGATTTGATGTGATTTCATTGTTCTCTCACACACAGTATACTAAGAAATTTATGTAGTACGAACAATAGTGCTCATATTATATCTGTCAGAGATGAAAAAACAACATATATGGATCTGTGTAATCCACTCAATGGTTTCTCGACCTTAGGCACCCCCAGGGTGCATTACAAATCTACATGATGCCCTTAGGTGTTGGATTTTGCATTTGGCTCACTGACTTAGCTGCAAGATTTGCAAAAAAATCCGCGTATGACGAAAACTCCTATTGGTTACACATGTTACAAGCTCAACAGCATAAATTAATCCTTGCAAGGTATCTTATGTGCACTAAATTGGCTCAGGTTCTGATTGTTTTGGATGAAAGCATATGACTAACTTGAGCTTTTTGTTAAAAAAAAATTACCCATTTTTGGCTAAGCACCTTTTTGGCAATCCATCATTGCAAACATGAAGGACATGGAAATACAAAGATCTGCATTTTAGGGGGAATGTTGAAATTCTACCATATGCATCTCAAACACTGGATATTCTTGATCTTCTGAAAGCTGAAATGCTATGGGCATCAGAAATACTGGATGCTACACACATCCTGTAGTTCAATGTAATATGGCTTCTGTGTTGTTTCTCTGTTTATGAATAGAGGATAGCATGAATGTCATAGTAAAGCTTAGAATCACAATGGTATCAGTGTACCACTGGAAATGATGACCATATAACACATATCAGAGATGCATCTAGTGCAGAAAAATATGCATAATTTGTTTCTAAAATATACATTCAGGAATTTCTTAAATCATATTTGTGATTGGCAGTTCATACCAGTCATGTTGTTCCAGGAAAATTGAATAAAGAGCAAAAGTTTGAAAACCCTTCACACACAATTCTTTTTATCAACCAAAACCTTTGCTAGGTTTGTTTTTGATCTTTCATTCTTTCTCAAGGTTTGAGTTTCCCTCCAGTAGATACTGTGAGAGTGTTTAGGACATGGTGAATTTCCAGTGTTTAATTCCCCTTTGACAAAGCTACAGCTGTTTCTTACACAAGCATAATTAATAGATTTTTGGAACTGTAGATCTAATTAGATCATCTAGTATGCCCTCCTGTGCAACACAGGTCACAGAACTTCATCTAGCTCTTCAGCCTTAATCCTGACTTTGCGTATCTCCTAGTAAAGTTATGAGAAAACATGGTAATCGAGTAAATTCAATGCTATATTCTTCCTCATTGACTACAATATTTCTCTAGTAACATAATGTTACAAGTCCCACACTGTGGACCGGCATAATAGTTATTAAACATGTTGGTTTCTTACCACAACTGGAAAAGTTAGTCAAACTCAGATGCCAGCAGACCACTATCAAGACCAGTGTGGAAGTACTGCAGCTACCTGCAGATGTGCTCTGGGAAATGAGACCACAAGCATCTCACCTGACTGTAACCACCACTGTTTTCAGCAGTAAATCAAAAGCTGTGGCATTCAACTCAGGACAGGAGGCCCTCATATCTTCCTGGAAGCACATTGTTCATGTTAGAAATTTTATTCTCCATAAAAGACTGATGCATTAACTTGTCCTTACTGTATCTTTTTTTTTCTGTACACTCATTCTATAGTTCCCATAATTTTAAAAGAAGTGAATACATGAGATTCAGCTGTTAGTAAAATCATTCCTGACACCTTCCACTGTGATTAGAGGAAGATGACAAAACACAGTTGTTGCTTATTTCCTAGGAAGTTCAAATTGCATAGTCCAGGAAAAGATTTTTCAGCTCTTGCTTTTACTGATGATTTTTTCAACTGCTGGTTTTGAGTTTTAACAGTAATCTATAAGTTTGCAAGAGCCTGTTTAGAGATCTATCATATATCAGCAATTCCCCTCTTTTTCTACCTTGCAGTGGTTAAAATTGAAAATGTAAATAAAACCAGAAAAACAATGTCACAAGTGGTAGCTTTGCCAAGCACTTACACATGACTTGTTAAGGATTTGATAATAGACAATAGGAACTTAGTACTATGAAAAGAATACATTCATGCCTTTGTAGCATTCATGTCATGCCAATTTCACCTTTGTCTTTGAAAGTTTCTATTTCTTTTCCTTATGCACATTCATACATAGACACACATGTAGGTTATCACAGACTTGTCAAGCTGTAGTTTGTCAAATGGTAAACCTATAATTTAGCTTCTCTATTACTCATCTCTTAAATTCAATGTCTAATAGTTTTGTTGCTATTTATCAATGGTCTGCTTGTTGTCATGGAACACTGATTCAGCTGTCAAGGTTATTTGATAATCTGAGGCTCATAAAACAGGAGAAGCTCTTTTTGTTGTGAGCCCAAAGCCAATACATGCTTCCCCCCCCAAGTTTAACTGCCCTTAAATTTTATGAACAACAAATAATTTTTGCACTATCTATAATGAGTGAAAATGTTATTATTTTTTTAGTTGATGATTTAGTTACCAAAAACAGTCTTGTGTCAGTTAGCATAGTGTGAGCCAAGAGGTTAAAATATAAGACACTTTAGACCTAGCTGCATATGCTGAAAAAGCCCCCATGATAAATCTGTCTCATGTATTTCATACCTAAATACTTTTTGGGTCTGTGTTTTTCCTTTATTTCTTCTCAGATCATATCTTCCAGACACTGGTACTATACAGGCAGAATTGTGGATTGGTTCCTCACGCCAAAGCAATGTCTCAGAAGAAAGAGATAGTTTTAAGCAGTCCTAACCACATAGAGATCTTCTTACTCCTAAAAAGTCAAGCTTTTTCTTCTTTTTTTTTTTTTCTTTTGTAATTGGTTCATCTAAGTGATATATTTGTCAAGCTTTCAACCCGACCTTGTTGTAGTTAATCTGCTGGCAAGACTTCCAGATCCCTGGGGATTTTTTTCTTATTCACAGCAGCCTGCAGATTGGTCAAGCATGATAACAGAGCAAAGAATTTCCATAGTGAGTAAAAGCAGGGCAGCGTGAAAACAGGTGTTTACTAATGCCTGTAATCGATGCCATGTAAAATAGTAAGACCGGAACACACTGCATCTCATGTACATTCTTTAGACTCAAGATAGAAAATAAATACTGTCTTTGAATATCAAGGCACTTACATCTATTGTCTAGTGCTACTTAAGGATCTCATTCTTCATGTGAGTTTATGAAAGAATAGTTAGTAAAACATATTATTTGTGGAGAAAATAATTCTAAATTTTTAACCTTACATACATCTTGACTCTTCGCCAGACTATTGAATTATGATTGAAATGGACATCATCTTCTGATGTGCAGAACTACACAAAATCTAACTGTATACAAAGCCAAATCCTAGATTCAGAAAACTAGATAGAAGTGACCTCTAAGACACATGGATTAGTCACAGATTTTATACATATATAGGAAAGAATATCTTCTAAAAGGAAGAAAGTAAATTGCTTCATAGAATCATAGAATCAGCCAGGTTGGAAGAGACCTCAAAGATCATAGAGTCCAACCCTACTGTGCTTACTAGACTATGGCACTAAGTGCCACATCCAGTCTCATCTTGAAAACCTCCAGGGATGGTGAATCCACCACCTCCCTGGGCAGCCCATTCCAATGCCTGATTACTCTCTCTGTAAAATCTCTCTTCCTAATATCCAACCTAAACCTCCCCTGGCAGAGCTTGAGTCTGTGCCCTCTTGTGCTACTGCTGATTGCCTGGGAGGAAAGACCAACCCCCACCTGACTACAACCTCCTTTCAGGGAGTTGTAGAGGGTGATAAGGTCTCCCCTGAGCCTCCTCTTCTCCAGGCTAAGCCTCTCCTCATAGCACTTGTGCTTAGTCCCTTCCCCAGCCTCATTGCTCCTCTCTGGACCTGCTCCAGCACCTCAATATCCTTCCGGAACTGAGGAGCCCAGAACTGCACACAGTACTCAAGGTGTGGCCTCACCTGCACCGAGTACAGGGGCAGAATCACCTCCCTGGTCCTGCTGACCACACTGTTCCTTGTACAGGCCAGGATACTATTGGCCTTCTTG